GTGTGAGGGCAGCCGGGTCATTTGGATCTGATGACAACGGTGTTATTGGTCTGGAGTTTAGCATACTTTCAATTTGGGTTACCACTGTTTCCAATTCCTCGTAAGTGAGTGACACGTTGCCAATAGTTCGCACCAATAGATATTTAGCTGATTTGACAGCAGCTTCCCATAATCCTCCGAAATGTGGTGCTCTCGGAGGTATAAAATGAAAAGCAATTCCTTGAGCTGAACAGGATCTTATTATGTTGTTTTGAGCATTTGTGCTGTGAATGCTTTCAGCTAACTCGTTCATTTGATTTTTAGCGCCCACAAAATTAGTCGCGTTGTCACAATATAAGTTCTGATATCGACCTCTTCTTGACGTAAACCGGTTCAAAGCGCCTAAGAATGCATCTGTGGTGAGATCACTAACAACTTCCAAATGTACTGCCTTCGTGGAGAAGCAGCAAAACACTGCGATGTACGCTTTGCATGGTCTTTTGCCTCTAATTTTGTGGTGTATCCATATGGGACCACAGAAGTCCACACCTGCGTTGAAAAAAGGTTTTTGAGCTTGGACTCTGTCAGCTGGTAGATTGCCCATGATTTGTTTGAACATGTGTGGGCGTACTCGAGTGCATTGTACACAATGTTGCACAATGGATCGAGCCATAATCTTGCCTTTTATTGGCCAAAATCGCTGCCTGCACTGGGCTAATAATGTTTGCGGTCCGCAGTGAAGTCCCTTCTCATGTAAATGTTTCATTATGAGCTTAGCTATTAGATCGTTATAAGGCAGCAGCATGGGGTGTTTGGCATCGTAGGTAAGATGTGATGACGTGAATCGACCTCCAACCCTGATGACGCCACTATCATCGATAAATGGAGAAAGTCCGTGGAGACTACTGCTTCCCTTCAGATACCTTTTCTTTAAGAGTTGATGTCGTTCTTCATTGAAATCACTAAGCTGTATGGCTTTTATTATTATGAGTAATGACTCATCCAGTTCTAATGGTGTCAAATTGATGTCGTTGTGCTTGCTCTTATTACGTAACCCTTTGATGAATCTCAACACATAGCCAAGAATTCGTTGCAACCTTATGAATGAGTTTCCATGCCTTATCGTAGAAATCATTTTGATTAGTTCATCATCATGTGAAATTGTAAGCACATGTACCTTCCTTTTGGCTTACGCTTGTATATGGTCGGATGTTATCAATTCCTGACGGAATGGTTGGGGCCAGCATTCTTGATTTCCATGAAGGAAAAGTGGCCCATAAAACCACATTGCATTCTTCTGAATGTAAATTGGATCTACACCTCTGGATAATAAATCAGCTGGGTTTTGTTTAGTATTGACATGCCTCCACTGTTCCTTTAGTGTTAATTGCTGAATCTTACTGATACGATGAGCAACGAAAGTTTGGAATGTTGATGGTTCTGAATTGATCCAATGCAATGTTATCTCAGAAACAGTCCACATATATATCGGATGATGTTCATATTCCAAATCCTTTTTTACCTTTACTACCAATTGTGCTCCTAGTAAAGCCGCACATAACTCAAGTCTTGGTATTGTCTGCGTTTTTAATGGAGCGACGCGTGATTTTGAACAAAGTAACTGAACTGAAATAGTTCGATCAGTCATTTCGGCTCTGATGTAAATGGCATCAGTAAATACATGAATCTGAGTATTCCTTGGTTGTTTATGATGAAATATATGTCGTGGAATCTTCACATTGTTTATTTCACATAAGCACTGACGAAAATGGGTCCATTGAGTATGCATTTCAGCAGGCAGAGCTTCATCCCACGAAAGTTTTAACTGCCACAATCTTTGAACAGATATTTTCGCCTTCACTACTACGGGAGCCATTAATCCAAGTGGATCAAAAATGTGCGCCAACTCGGAGGAACTTACGGTCCTCTTTGTTATTTTGCTGTGTGTAGGTCCGTTAGTTTTTATTGAAAATTGATCAGATTTTGGTAGCCAGATAAGGCCTAGAGTTTTTACTGTCTTATGTGACTCACTGCTGACATCGAGATCAACTTCTTGATCTTCTGGAGCGAGTCCTTGAAGTAATTGGGCATTATTTGCGCACCACTTGCGAGGTTTGAAACCAGCTGTCGCCAATATTTTAATAAGTTGATCCTTTGTTGCAATTGCCTCCGTGAGACTGTCTGAGCCATTTAAACCGTCATCGACATAAAAATCCTTGCTGAGTGTAGCGGAACCAAGCGGAAATTTAACGGCATGCTCTCTGGCCAGGGTTTGTAGACACTTAGTTGCCAGATACGGCGCTGCTCTTGTGCCATACGTTACCGTTTTTAATTTGTAATAGCACAAGTTTTCTTCTGGTGACTCTCGTCAGATAATGATTTGAAGATATTCATCTCTTGGATCAATTAGTATCTGCCGATACATCTTTTCAATATCTGTTGTAAAAACGAAGCGTGGTTTCCTGAAACGCAGTAAAATGGATAAGAGTTCGTTCTGCATGACTGGACCATTATGCATGATATCATTGAGTGAGACTCCGGTTGATGTTCTTGCAGATGCATCAAACACCACTCGAAGCTTTGTTGTAGTACTATCTGCCTTGATTACACAATGATGTGGCAAAATGTAATGTGGATGGATTATATCATCCTGATTGATTTTTTCCATGTGGCCGAGATGTTCGTACTCTCGCCATGAAGTCAACGTACATCTTCTTTAGTTCAGAATTCTTCAAAAGCCGACGTTCAAGACTAAAAAACCGATTCATCGACATCTGCATGGATTCACCAAGAACAGTTGTATCCTCCTTAAATGGTAGTTTCACGACAAATCGCCCTTCATGATTGTGGTGAGTATTTTGAGCAAAAGATTCTTCACATTTCTTTTCTGCATCAGTGAATTTGTCATCCGTTTGATTGATTTCCTCCAATTGCCAGAATTTAGTAAGTATATTATCCAATGCTTCGTCGTCAGCTTCGCTGCACATGCCACAGGTAAGTAATTTTTGATTACCGTTGCTAACTTTGCCACTGCATATCCATCCGAAAACCGTGTTCTGAAGTGCAGGTAGACCCTCACCTATTTTGATTTGACCAATCGATAAAAAGCTGTGATAGAATTCTGCTCCAATTAATAAGTCAATTTGATTTGGATTCGCGAAGTCTGGATCAGCCAATTTTATATTTTGAGGAATTGACCAACCAGAAGTGTCCAGACACTGTGTTGGTTGGGCTGAGATAATTCGAGGCATCACGAATGCGTTGATATTTACATTGAAATCATTAATTCGAGACTGAATTTTTGTTGTCACACTGTATTTTGTGTCCCTTTTGCTTCTACCAATTCCTTCTATCCATAACGGTGATGAGTGTAACTGCAATTTTAATTTTCTTGCCAGTTTTTCTGTGATTAAGTTTATTTGTGATCCAGAATCGAGTATTGCTCTACACTCGATGAAATCACCATCAAACGTAGCTATTTTCATATTAACTGTACTAAGAAGAACGTATCCCTTATTTTGTGTTAATGCTGTGATTACAGTAGAAGGTTGATGACCAGGTTTCTCAACCAATGAATCTGATTTGACATTGATTGATTTGTGTGTTGTCTTAGAAGACTCTGATAAGTGCAACAACGAATTGTGGTTCTTGCTGCACTTGTTGCACCGGGAACTTTTGCATTCTGCTGCCCTATGGCCTGTACGTAAGCAGTTCAAGCACAGTCTAAGTTTTTGTACTGTCTTGATACGACCTTGTGGTGTTGATTGCAAGAATGTTTTGCAATAATATATCGGATGTGATCCATTATTACAGATCTTACAGGTTGATATATTTGCCTACCCCATAGTTGTGGCAAGGGTTTTTGCTGAGCATGGCTTCTCCCTATGACCAATCGCCTCTAAGGACTGGAATCGTGATTCCAGAAAAATCATGAACTCCTTAATCGACTGAATCTCTCTTGGATGAGTCAGCGACTGTTCATACAAAATGCGAGTCTGCTTATCTAGTTTGAGGAGCAAACTATGAAGCAGTAGCGGCGACCATGAATCAGTTTCGAGTCCCACATTCTTCAGTGCCAGCAATCCTTCAAAAGTAACATCATGGAGTGTCCTTATTTCTGTCGCTGAAGGATTGGTTGATATTATTGGTTGATTTAGAATTCTTTGAATGATTGTTGCTACAATAATTCTTTTGTTGTGATATCGTTCTTGTAGCAGATTCCAAGCCGTTTGATAATTCTCGTTGGTTATTGACAGGTGTCGGACTAAACCTTCTGCTTCTCCTGTTAAACTACCTTTGAGGTACCACATTTTCTGAGCGTTAGAAGGCTGCTGCTTGTGAATCATTTCGGTGAACAAATCATAGAATTGACACCACTTCAAATAATCGCCATCGAATTTTGGTATTGTTACCTTAGGCAGTGATATCCCAGCGCTGTCTGGTTTACTGATTCCTTGTTGTAATTGTTCATTATTTGCTTTCATTGAAGCTAACGAAATTAAAGTTGACTGAACCAATTCTTCTATTTCGAGGTACTCATCGAGTTTATATCCCACTGTAGTCGGATTGTTGGTGTACTTCCAAATTTCAAAATTAATGGATTCAATCTCATTCCATAGCTTCTCAATTCTTCCCATATTCACTTCATAAAAGGATTTCATCTGAACGCCTGTTTGACGATTGATGCCTGCTATGAGTCGCTTCAGTGATACACAAATTGCACCTTGCTTGTGTATCATTCGTGTTATACTCGTGCTATATTGTCCTTCCCTCGGTGACGGCATCGGTTGACGTGCTGTCGTTGCTGACTCCTTTGAGGAAGGTGTTGGGGGTATTTTGGTTGACAATTCATTTTCGAAAATCTGCTCATATTTTTCAAATAATCCCTTGATTTCCTGAAAGTAGTTGTTGGTAAAATATGAAACGCTCGTATCCAAATCTGGCAAATTCCTGATTTGTGTGTCGTTATGATCAAATTGTTCCCATAATTCGTTGAGTCGCCTAATACGCTCTTCATAGTAGCGAGGGGATGTCTTCCTCTCTTTTGATTCCTTTTTGAAGTTAGTGATCAGTTGTTGGATTTGTTTTCCCAATTCTGATTGTTTGGCAATCAATTCTGCCATGACTTCCATGGTTGTAAATACAGCAATAATACCCTTCTGAGCAGGTTCACTGGATTGATGATAACGTGGTCCTTCTGAGCAGGTTCACTGGATTGATGAAAACGTGATCCTTACGGTGAATCACGTCGGGGTCACCAAAAATGTTCAATAAGTCGTTTCTTATTGAAACTGAATCGACACTTGAATCGATTCAGTGTTGCTTATGGTTAGGAATCTGGCACTTGAACCAGTTCCTATTGCAAGGTCTGAATTTGGCACTTAAACCAACTTCAGGTGGATTCAAACAATAACAATATTTTTTGAGCAACTAGGCACTTGAACCTATTTGCAATTGAGTTTTAATAAGCACTTGAACTAATTAAAACGCAAGGGCTGTTCTGTATTGAATGATAAATTTATTAGAAAAATGTTGAGTTTTTATACACATTTGGCAAGGTGTTAATGCATACAATTCCCACGATAATGCCCTATATCTTAAGCTGCATTAAAGTAGCGATTAGGTATCGCTCAGCATAGTTGTGGGAACGGTCACAGTTCTCATGGAAATTGTATGCATTGACAAAAAAGAATATTACTTGCGTAATTTCCTTAGCAACCTGGTATATGCTTATAAACTTATTTCCTTTTAACCTTGAACTAAGTCCATATACCAGCTTGCTTTACAAACATAATTATTATTTAATAAGTACAATACTGACCTTGCACAAGCAAATTTAATTTCTCATAATGTTCTATATTAAAGAATTGCACATACTAAATGCATGGCTTATCTGCAGTTTCATATGACGAGCAAAGTGTGCTCGTGTGATATACAACTGTTGTTGTTGTTTGATAAATTTTGATATCTTAACCCACCGTTCAAGGCTAAGACATCAAGTCATTAACATTATGAGAATAGAAATTTGCTTTGACAACAAAACAAAAATAATAGAATATTATTAATATGAAATATATAATTTATAATATATTACTTGAAATATTATGTCATTATTATGTCCAAATTGGACATTATGTCAATGTCCTAAAGGGGAGTAATTAAAACGTAAGTTTGAATATTTGGCGCAGAAAATTAAAAAAACAAACGAACGCAGATATATACGTAATGATGGTGACCATCGAATCACTGACGAAGGAACAGTTGAAGGACTTCTTACAACAGCAAGAGTTATCAACTACAGGCAATATGGCAGAATTAGTTGCAAGATTAACTGAACACGTGAAGGCAAGCGGCGTAGTTTTACAATTTACGAACGATAATGAGGAATTGCGGGGGGAAAACGAAGAATTGAGAAAACAAATTAGAGAACTGAGCCAAATGGTGCAACAAGTGGCCATTAACCAGAATAACGGTAGAAACAATCAAAACAGTACTTCAGAAATGCCTAGTAAGGACCGTAACGCGCATTCTATACGAGAAATCGCAGAAGTTTTGCCCGAATTCGACCCAACGAATGAAGATTCTATTACGGCTACGCAATTTGTCGAACGTGTTGAAGCTGTTATGTCTGTATATGCGTGGCCCGAAAAAAGTGTGCTTCTTGCAGTGTATAGCCGTTTGAAGGGTGTAGCGCGCATGTGGGTGGACGCATCACCAAGAATGCATGCTACTTGGAAGGAGTTCTCAAATGAGCTTGTCACCGAGTTCGGTTGCGAATACGATGAAGCGGATATACATTACAATATGTCGCGCGTTGCTCGAAGGCAAAACGAAACAATAACTGAGTTCATTTTTCGTGTCTCTGCGCTAGGACGACGTCATAATCTTAGTGAGATGGCTATCACGAAATACGCCCGAGAAGGATTAAAACATCGAGAACTACAAATGGCGATTGCTTCGCAAAAATTCGTATCCGTTAAAGAAATGCGTGAAGCATGCGAGAACTTTTTACAAAATTGCATTAAGATAAACGAAAAGCCTTTTCATAATGCGGGTGAAAGCGAACAAAGAATACAATCGTTCATTAAGGCAAAGAATGTTATGTGTTACAATTGTGGTAAGTCAGGGCACTTGTCAGTAAATTGTGCAAGACTCCCAAAACGTCCTCGTTGTATAGATTGTAATAAGGTGCACCCCAAAAATGAACAGCAAAATTGCGGAAAACCATCAGCTTTCGTGCGAAAAACAAATATTATCGACAATAAATTTCTTAAGAAAATAACGATTGGTGGCAAGCAAGCCATTGCATTTATTGATACTGGAAGCGAATGTAATATGGTCCGGTTAACATTTGCCAACGATATTGGTGGTACGCGCAGCAAAAACCTACTTACCATCGGTGGATTCGGTGGTAGTATAGAACGATCTGAGATACAAATCGATACGGATTTGAAAATCGATGAGGTTGAAAAACCGTTGACTTGCACGTCTTCAAAGATTGTGTGTTGAATTACGATCTATTGCTCGGGGACCAAATATTCAATAGCGAAAATATACGCGCCGTATATGACAACGGACAGTTCAAATTCGAAGACAAAGTAAAAACGACGTGTAAAATTAATAAACTTAGTCCAATAACGGAAGATGACGTGTGTATGGACACTGTAAATTCAGGTTCTAAGGGAAAGCTGTTAGAGGTGATGAATGAATTCCGAGAATGTTTCGCTACAGGTATGGATGGAATCGGCAAAACTAGTGTAGTCGAAATGTAAATTGAGTTAATGACCAACGAGGTAATCGCACAAGTCCCGTATAGAGTTCCGGAACCGAAAAAAAAAAATCGTTGCGAAGAAAATTCAAGAGTTGCTCGATAATGATATTATAGCTCCGTCTGAATCAAGTTATGCGAGTCCAATGTTGCTTGTGAAGAAAAAGAATGGCGAACATCGACTTTGCGTGGACTACCGTCGGATTAATCAATTCACTCGAAAAGAATGCTACCCAATGCCCAATATCGAAGAAAGTTTACAAGAAGCAACGAAGTATCGAATCCACATATCGTTAGATCTTAACTGTGGTTATTATCAAATTCCTATAGAACGTAACAGTCGTAAATATACTGCAGTTGAGGTTCCTGATGGTCTATACGAGGTTAAACGGATGCTGTTCGGGCTGAAGAACGCACCAGTCCTGTTTCTACAATTGATGGCGAAAATTAAAACGCGCTTGGAACCCAGCGATATGATTCACTACATGGACGATATGCTTGTCGGCGGCAACGATGAAGAAGAACTTCTCGGAAAGTTTCAACGAATTTTAGGTGTAATAAAAGAATTTAATTTAACATTGAATTTAAAAAAATGCGAATTTCTGAAAGATACTATCCAATTCTTGGGACATCAGTTGGGTAGCGTCGTGAATAAATATATTGTTTTAGTTAAATAAAGAAAAGTAAAGTTATGTAAAAAGAACGTTTTGTAGTTAACGCAAATTTATTTAAACCAAATTTAAATAAAACCAAATTTAAAGTTCAGAAGTGGGATCCAACGGGATAACGCCGGGTGAAATCAAGACCGAAGTCATAAGAAATTTCAGCATGCCTACAACGCAAACAGAGGTATGGCGCTATTTAGGGTTAACGGGATATTTCCGCAAGTTTATACCAGGCTACGCAATTATATCCGAACCGTTGCGACAATTACTTAAGAAAAACGCCGTCTTTAAATGGGCAGATCAACAAACAAACGCCTTTTTGAGTCTAAATGAAGCACTAACAACCGGACCAGTATTAACGGGCTACCGAGTGGAAGCTGATCATCAAGTGCATACAGACGCGAGTGCCATCGGACTCGCAGGTGTTTTACTCCAAAATGACAACGGAGATTGGAAGCCGGTGGCGTACTTTAGTCGATCTACCACACCGCTGAAAAGGAAATATCACAGTTACGAATTAGAAACGCTTGCAGTTGTCGAATCTGTGGACCGCTTCAAATATAACATCTATGGAAAGTCGTTTACGGTCATTACCGATTACAATGCTGTAAAATTGGCCATGCAGAAGCGAGAAATGATACCTCGTATAGCCAGATGGTGGCTTCGTATCCAAGACTATGACCTCATCATCAAACATCGAAGCGAGCAACGAATGACGCACGTCGACGCACTAAGTCGTATGCCTAACGAAGACGGTTGCGATCTTGAGGAAGCGACTTTGCGAGTCTGGAAGGCGGAAATAACTGAGGCAGATTGCCTTTACAGTATGCAATTACAAGATAGCAAACTTCAACAAGTCGTAATGAAAATTGAGGAGAAGGATGCACACATTATTGACGACTATAAAATAATTAACGGACGACTGTACAAACGGTATAAAAACCAACGGTATAATACCAAAGGCTTTGCGATGGAAGGTGACACATGATGCACATGTTAAAACAGGACACCTAAGCGTTGACCGAACGATTGAATACTTACTACAGTCTATGTGGTTCGCTCGAATGCGAAACTTTGTCAAATCTTTTGTGAAAGCGTGCATTGATTGTGCCTTCACTAAGCGTCGAGGAGGTAAAAAGGAAGGTGAGTTACATTGCGACAAAATGGAGCCTATTCCGTTCAAAACAATACACATTGACCACCTGGGACCTTTTCCCCGAAGCCGAAAGTTAAACAAGTATATTCTGATTATTGTGGACAGTTTCACAAAATTTGTCATCGTCAGACCAGTGAAAAGTATGAACACTAAACAAGTCATCGCCATTCTGAATGAAGTTACCAGTTACGTTGGAACCCCTGAAAATATAATAAGTGATCGTGGTACCGCCTTTACGTCAAACGAATTCGAAAGATACTGTAACGATCAACAAATCAAACACATACGCAAAGCAGTCCGTACGCCACGAGCCAATGGCCAAGTCGAACGATTTAATCGCACCGTTTTATCCATGCTGCAACCATCAACACAAGATGACCGAACCTGGGACGAGCAACTACGAAGCATTCAATGTACATTGAACTCACTGATTAGCCAAACGACGGGAAAATCTCCAAACGAATTGCTTTTTGGATTTAAGCCACGCGACATATTAGGTAACAAGCTGATCCAAATTCACCAAGATGAAGACAATACTATTCCCATCACCCAAGAAGAACTCCACCGCCGACGATTACTTGCTGCTAATAACACCGATAGTAAACGGGAAAACGCGAAAAAGCGTTTCGACGATAAACACAGGAAACCAACGAAATATGAGCAAGGTGATTTAGTTCTAGCAGAACGAGAACCAGCATCCACAGGCACGTCCCGCAAACTTGAATGTCGATATAAAGGACCGTTCGTAATCACCGAAGTTCTCGATAATGACCGTTATGTCATCGAAGACCTACCAGGATCCGATCGAAAACAACGACATTATAAATCAATCTATGCGTCTGATCTTCTAAAGCCATGGTGTCAATTGCCGTACGAAGAAGAAACTGATTCCGAGCGCGAGGACGCTTGACGTCAGGAAGGGCCGACTGTTAACCTACATCCGAAACGCACAACTGGGCACCTTAAAATTTTTAACAACATGTGGTCACCTAACCTATTTTTGACAGCGAATGACACAATCGAGTGAAGTAAGAATAACGGAAGTTTTGTTGGGTAGCGTCGTGAATAAATATATTGTTTTAGTTAAATAAAGAAAAGTAAAGTTATGTAAAAAGAACGTTTTGTAGTTAACGCAAAAAACCAAATTTAAATGAAACCAAATTTAAACATATGTATTTTATATTATATTAAAAATTTTCATACATATAATTTTTTTAATATAAATTATAAATATAAGTTATATAAAAGGTAAATTTTTTATTTCATATAAATAATATTTAAAAATATATATAATAATACATTTTTAATCATAAAATAAATTTTATGTGTTAACAAAACAAAAAAACATATTTTTAATTTCTGCATAAAATACCACAAAAAAACATAAAACCGTACAAAAAAAGCAACTGCTCAAATAATCCCTCAAATAATTTGTGTGATGCATGTTTGTTTGCATTTTGCGCTCTCACTTCACCTTCTGCTTACGAAGTCTTCTAAGTCTTCGAAGTTTTTCACTACACTTAAACTTCGAAGATTTCGAGAACAAAAATTTACAAAAACTTCGAAGTTTTTTCCAACTTCGAAGACTTCGTTGAAATGCGAATATTCGAATAATAGAAGAACTTCGGTTTTTTAAAAACTTCGAATAATGTGAACAGCACTAGTATGAATACCAAATTTCTTTCTGAGCATTTCTTATAATTTGAGAATATTGGTGAGCGTCGGACGAGCAAAGATCGCAGAAAAAAATTATTAATTAGTGACAAAAAAAAAGTAATTGAAAATATTGCTAGACATTCATTTTCGTTAAAAGAAGCAAATTTGAAAAGAACTGCTACAAACAATTATTAAAGAAGTTTATATATTTAAAAAACTATTGTGTGAATAAAAATATATAATTTTAAAAATTTTTAATTTTTGAAATTTAACAATTAAAAATAAAAAATATAATTAATTAATTAATTCAATTATTCTACAGCTGGTTTATGATTTCGTTCTAATATATAAATACAGCAAGTAAAATTGTTAATAAAAACTTTCATAGCAAAAGTAACAAAACTCCAGCAAAAATATGCGAACATAAAAAGTCAAGTACGGCTTTGGATCAGTTGGTTAAGGTGCGCTGATTCTGAGCTTCATATTTGGCAGGACCCGAGTTCGATTCCTGGTACTTGCAGTCTCAAAAATAATTATTTACGAATAATTAAATATAAGAATTATTTCCAAGACCACTGATGAAGGGTATTTGGCAATACTCGAAACAGCTGTATGGTCAGCCAAAAATTCAATTAATTAAAATAATTTAAAAAATAAATTTTTGTTGTTGTTTCACTTCTGTTCGAAAACCTCTTTATATATAATTTTAAAAAATTAAATTAAAAATAATTTTAGTTTTGAGAACTTATATAAGAAATTATGTTTAATTCTAAGAAACATGAAATATTTATATAACAAAATCACTCATCACCTCAACTTTTTCAGTTTTGATTATTCTATTGTACTCTGTACTTGCTCCACTGTTGTTATGACGCTGTAGAAAACAAATCGAAATGCAGTATAAAAACCTGAGCGTAGATAGCAACAATACGCTGAGAGGACCTAGCCGGAATTGGAACACGAAATATTTCTCAGTTTATTAATTTGTCAAAATTAGCCAAATTTAAGCTTCTTTACCAAATAAGAAATACGATTTAGATAGTAAATTCAATAATATTTCATTTGGTATATACCTCATAACTGTATGTTGCGTAATAGCAGACATATTCAGAAAATAAAAGAATCAAATTTTTTGAAAAAACTGACTTTACTTAAAAAATTATTAAAAAAAACAACCAAAGACCGCAGAGACATGCAGAGAATATTCATCTAAAAGACAATAAAACAAGCTTTCAATTAAAGCAAAAATCATATTGTACGAGCAGAATTTTTAAAAAATCGCATTAAATTTTGATATCGAAATTGCTTTAATATCATCCAAATCAAAAAACTAAAAATGAGGACTGTTCAAATATACATCAGAAAACATAATTTTAGAACCTCAATAACATATTTCAATTTTATCATAAAAAATTGATTAAAAATAGCTTTTTTTTTAGCTCACTTTACTGTAATCATTATATCCTCGTAAACAAAAATGACAGAGAAATGGCATTAATTTTTTTCTAAAGACAAGAAAATTTCCATTTGAAAAAGTCGAAAACCATAAAAATCGTATACACAGTTGTCCATTTTTTACCATAAATCCAATTATTTGAAAAATAACCTCCACCCTCAGCGCCAAATACGAAGCAAACTCATAGCAGACGAGCCAGCGCCATCTAAATTTCAAGTATAAATATTATGTTTGTGTTTTTTTACGCAAGTATTGCGAATGAAAGAATTAATGAAAAATTGAAAAGAAAAAGGGACTTTCTTATCTAAAAATATTAATTTAAAAAAAAACTACAATGAAGATCCAAATGCACACGAAAACCTTAAAAGACAATAAAACACGCTTTCAGTTGCAACATAAATCAAAAAGATAGATTTTGTCTTCACCCCAGAAAATTAAATCAAAAATGAAAAATATTATTTCTTTTAAAACACTTATTTTTCAAAAAATGAAGATAAGAAATGTTAAGATATGTATTATAATGCATAATTGTAAAATATCAACATAATTTTTCAATTATATCATAGAAATTTCATTAAAAATAAAGAATTTTTTTTAGTTCATACATTTATATTCCGAAATAAATTTTTGTGCAAAAAAGTGTTGGTATTTGATTTGTTTTAGTCCTAGTTTTATTAATTAAAAACACTTTAATTATTTTTATAAAATTCTACTATTATTTAACTATATATTTTATAATGTTCTTCATATCTTCACAACACTATGTAGTTTTTTAAATCATGTTCATTTGAATACCAGTAAACAACTACTGTCTCTTAAACTTATCTTAAATCTTACAATAACTTCTTTATTTATTTAGAAAGCTATATCTATCTTATTCTAACAATATTTACTTAAATCTAACAATGTACTTCTTAACTCTAATTGGTTAATCTTATTTACTTAATTATTCTTATTTTATTTATTTCCTATTTATGATCGACACATTACCTAAAACAAGAAATGCATAGGAAGTACTTACTGTGCATTTGTTTGTCATGTGTCTCATATTGACATGTGTTCCGATTTGTGTGGTCTCAATATATTTGACACCACATGAGCTCTTAACCGAATTTTAAGTGGCAAACAATTTATGTCAGAAGTATCGTTTTCTGACTCATACCATGAATTATAAAAATGCAGCGGTTAGCTCTTTTAAATTGGAACACAAATGGTTTAAAGAATATGACTGTAATAGTCATCAAAGGCGGCCTTAACATTGAGTAAGGTCGACCATAGATATACCATTACAATCACCTATACATCTTCATAACGATGAAGAATTTTACCTTTTCAAAAAGCTAAAAGTGTTAAAAATCGTACGTACAGTTTTTTGTATTCATTTTTTAAAAATTTGTCTATTTTTTACTAAAAAATTCAATTTATTTAATAAATAAATTATGTCACAGCGCCAAAAGCGGAATAAAATCAAAGTAGATGGGTTGATTAATCTATATTTTGAGAGGGAAGGTGTCTGACAAACCATTTCTTTTTAGAGAAGCATAAAATATTTGGAATCTATCAATGTTTATGTAAAAAAATGTCAGTGGCTGAATCAATTTTATCACACTATAGCTTTCTAAACGCTTGATATAAAAACGTATTAGAGATATAATTAATGTAAGATAAAAAAAATTAAAAATTGTGTTAAGCGATGGATTTAACTTACAATCCATACGTA